GAACTGACTACATATTGGCATGTTTGTCATTAATTTGGATTGCATTTATCATTCATGTAATTTCATTTTTGATTGTTAACAAAACACTATAGGATCAGGAACACAAACGAGTATTCCTGATCTTTTAGTGTTAAAACCACAATCTAACCCCCCTGGTCCCCTTTCCCACCCTAAATATAGCTCAATCTTACCTTTATTCCAGTCTGCTGCTGCAGGCTCAGTACACGATCTGCCTGCTTGGCTGATATCATCAGAAGTGGTGTTCTGAGCCAATCACAATGCTTTCAAATAGGAAAACATTTTATTGGCTAAGATTTCCAAGGAGGCAGATCAGGGGCTGAGCCAACACAAGTCAAACATAGCCCAGGCCAATCAGCTTCTCCTAATAGAAATGTATCAAATCAACTCATCTCTATGAGGAAAGTTCAGTGTCTCCATGCACATAGTGGAGACACTGAATGTCAGTGCAGCACTGACACAGGAAGCACCTCTAGCAGCCATATGAGTAGTGGCCAGTGGAGGTATCCCTAAGCTGTAATGTAAGTGCCGTATATACTCATGTATAAGCCGAGTTTTTCAGCACATTTTTTATGCTGAAAAAGCCCCCCTCAGCTTATACTCGAGTGTGGGTCCCACTTACCTGTACTGCCAGCCCCCCTCCCCCTTTCCTACTCTTCTCCCCGGCGTGCACTCCTCCTCTTCGGTTGCGCGTCACTTCCTCCCAGTCTGCTGCCGAAAAGCAATGGGCCCGATCACGCTGAGAACATTGGAAGTGGGTAAGCCCAGTGCTCTCCATCTACCACTGCTGTAGGAGCGGACGAGCAGCAGGTAGTTTGCTTATGCCCCCTTGTTTGGAAAGAATCTTAGACATTCCAGCAGCCGTGGGCCTAACTCCCATAGCACATAGAACATAATGAGCATCGAGTTCACATTTTCTGGAGTCCCGAGTACTGACTATCCTTAAACAATAAATATGAAGCCAGATTGAAGCAATTATTTAACACAATATGAAATCATTAATTCCCACAGAAACCTTTGTAATATGAATAGTTTTATTTGGACCATGGTACAGATAGACACTATTCTGGAAATCAATAAATTAAGTTTCAATATTCAAAACATTCTCTTACATTAGCACCTTTTTGTCTTGATTGCTATATCCTTATATGTTTATGATTTAGTAGTGGCCTCCTCCGTAGGTCACATAATGTGGGTTTTACATAAAGTGCAATTGTTGGGCATGTTTTCAAGTGAAAAATCAGGTGAAGCATTTTGTTGGTTTTCATGGTTATAGCTTCACTTTCAGAACTTTGCCTTTAGAATTGCTTTTTGTACCTAACCTGGCTTTTTAATGTACCTGCATTTCCCACCCTAGGCTTATACTCGAGTCTATAAGTTTTCCCAGTTTTTTTGTCGTAAAATTAGGTGCCTCTGCTTATATTCGGGTCGGCTTATACTCGAGTATACAGGGAGTGCAGAATTATTAGGTAAATGAGTATTTTGACCACATCATCCTCTTTATGCATGTTGTCTTACTCCAAGCTGTATAGGCTCGAAAGCCTACTACCAATTAAGCATATTAGGTGATGTGCATCTCTGTAATGAGAAGGGGTGTGGTCTAATGACATCAACACCCTATATCAGGTGTGCATAATTATTAGGCAACTTCCTTTCCTTTGGCAAAATGGGTCAAAAGAAGGACTTGACAGGCTCAGAAAAGTCAAAAATAGTGAGATATCTTGCAGAGGGATGCAGCACTCTTAAAATTGCAAAGCTTCTGAAGCGTGATCATCGAACAATCAAGCGTTTCATTCAAAATAGTCAACAGGGTCGCAAGAAGCGTGTGGAAAAACCAAGGCGCAAAATAACTGCCCATGAACTGAGAAAAGTCAAGCGTGCAGCTGCCACGATGCCACTTGCCACCAGTTTGGCCATATTTCAGAGCTGCAACATCACTGGAGTGCCCAAAAGCACAAGGTGTGCAATACTCAGAGACATGGCCAAGGTAAGAAAGGCTGAAAGACGACCACCACTGAACAAGACACACAAGCTGAAACGTCAAGACTGGGCCAAGAAATATCTCAAGACTGATTTTTCTAAGGTTTTATGGACTGATGAAATGAGAGTGAGTCTTGATGGGCCAGATGGATGGGCCCGTGGCTGGATTGGTAAAGGGCAGAGAGCTCCAGTCCGACTCAGACGCCAGCAAGGTGGAGGTGGAGTACTGGTTTGGGCTGGTATCATCAAAGATGAGCTTGTGGGGCCTTTTCGGGTTGAGGATGGAGTCAAGCTCAACTCCCAGTCCTACTGCCAGTTCCTGGAAGACACCTTCTTCAAGCAGTGGTACAGGAAGAAGTTTGCATCCTTCAAGAAAAACATGATTTTCATGCAGGACCATGCTCCATCACACGCGTCCAAGTACTCCACAGCGTGGCTGGCAAGAAAGGGTATAAAAGAAGAAAATCTAATGACATGGCCTCCTTGTTCACCTGATCTGAACCCCATTGAGAACCTGTGGTCCATCATCAAATGTGAGATTTACAAGGAGGGAAAACAGTACACCTCTCTGAACAGTGTCTGGGAGGCTGTGGTTGCTGCTGCACGCAATGTTGATGGTGAACAGATCAAAACACTGACAGAATCCATGGATGGCAGGCTTTTGAGTGTCCTTGCAAAGAAAGGTGGCTATATTGGTCACTGATTTGTTTTTGTTTTGTTTTTGAATGTCAGAAATGTATATTTGTGAATGTTGAGATGTTATATTGGTTTCACTGGTAATAATAAATAATTGAAATGGGTATATATTTGTTTTTTGTTAAGTTGCCTAATAATTATGCACAGTAATAGTCACCTGCACACACAGATATCCCCCTAACATAGCTAAAACTAAAAACAAACTAAAAACTACTTCCAAAAATATTCAGCTTTGATATTAATGAGTTTTTTGGGTTCATTGAGAACATGGTTGTTGTTCAATAATAAAATTAATCCTCAAAAATACAACTTGCCTAATAATTCTGCACTCCCTGTATATGGTACTGCATTTTCTATAAATAAAAAAAAAGCGTTTACAGCAAAAAGCCTGAAGGAAATGATTATACTACCAGAACAAATTCAATAAGCCATAGTTATTCGGGTGACTATAGTGTCCCTTTAAATAACAAATTATAACTATTATTTTACCATTGGTGTGCAGTATTTTACAAATTATATATATACACCCCTAATTTAGGACTCTAGAACTTTAAGAAGAAAAGGATATTTCATTTTCTTTTTGCTTTTCATTTTTACACACATGGGATGAAGAAAGAAATATTTATTCACATCTTCAAAGTTAATAGGGACCATTGTACCAAGTTAAATTAATTTAATGAGACTGGACAGCTGACCATATATTTACATGGGAATTCTCTCTTTTCTACTATTGAGTAGGGAGTTAGAGTCACTTGATTCCCTTTTGATTAATGGGGTCTTGGGAGACCCAACATGTTTATTTTGTGTGTTTACAGCCACAGAAAGCAAAGTTATATATGACTGTACACTTTAATAAGCTCCCTGTTGTGCAGTTCCATATTATGCCAAGGGAACACAGATCTGGTTACCAAGGTTTTGTGCAGGTGTTTCAGTTTTACACGCTAACAGAATGGAAGTGGGTTTCATGACTGCACTTTTTTCCCTTACAAACAAACAGAATGGGCACCTCTTGATTAAAATGAAAGGTCTTTGAATGTTCACATTGTTCATTGGATTACTAAATTTAGATCTATTTTTCAATTTGTTATAAACAATAGTGTTATAGCATTTATGCATACGCTCTATAAAATTTTCAAAATCCAGAGAAGTTTATTTATAAAACAGCCATTTTAATAAACTTCCTGTCTTTTATTAAGTTGGAAGGAGGGTAGATAAACAATTAAAATCTCATCTGTTGCATTTAAGCTCTGTGTCTGTTTTTCTTTGGTCTACAGAAATATCTGTGAACTTTGTTACTGTGCCACTTTCCTTAAAATCATTTGTTGCAATCATTAGTTTAGTTAAGTGGTTTTCAAACAGTTCTTAACAAAGTGTCATTGTGGGGGAGAAATCTTGCGATGATATTGTGTACGAGACTTGTGACAGATTGTTAAATGGTGAAGTCTGAATTAGCAGGTTGCCAAGAACTTTGTGTATGTGTAGCAACTTACCATTTCTAAAATTCATCACAAGAATGTCAATAATATTATGCAATACAAGATTTTATGGGAAATGCAATTTTTTATTAAACTCTCTGCAACCCCCATCACTGACCTTTGGATGCACATCTGCTAATACTTATGTTGTGATTTTGAGCCCACGTTTGCGTTCATGAAAAGGGCAAATATTTTTGTGTGTGCATGTACATGTGTGTGTGTGTGTGTGTTTGTATGTGTGTTTGTAAATTATAGTGTTTGCTATTTTTTTATATTTTATTTTTAGATGTTTATTTTAAGAATGTTATTTATGCAACAAAAATATGACGATAAAAAGTTACAAAAATATATTGGAAACAGTAAATAAAATATAGACACTTGTATTACATCTAAAAATCAGGTCAGGGGGTGGTGGGGCTGGTCCGCTGAGCTGGATGGTCGCAAGCACAAGCAGCTCTTGAACTACACTACTAAATAATACGACTAAAGCATGTTTTTCCGTGTAAAAACAGACCGACAGCAATGGTGCCGTGAACAGAAGGACCACTGGATCCAGGGAGAGGCTGGCTCACCGAGCTGCAGTCCCCTGGAGGAGAACTTCTCATTACCTCAGCTAAGGCCTTCTCCGGTGGTGAGTGGGGTGGACGGCCGCTGCCCCACTATCCCGCTACACAGTACCCGGCCAGAGGTGCACACTGGAGCGGACCCGGCCCTGTTCCCTCCCCCCCGTGGGACAGTGGGGGTGATCCCGGCCCTCACCCTGTGGCTCTGATTGAGACACTACAACCGAGGCTGGGGGGCCTAACTGCTGCATCCAAGATGGCAGGCGCCATGTGTGCGGAGGACAAGGGGACGACCGGCCCTCTCATGGGGCTCACGGACACCGCACTTCCCAGCTTCCGAACTTGCCATACGGAGGGGCAGGAAAATCCTCTCTTACCCCTGCAGCCCCTATCACCAACGAGGTCAACAGCAACACAGAGGAGACGGACATACACCACGCATCACACATCCCCACCTAGAAGCACGGAGCCTGCTGCCCAGCAGAACAATCAGACAAGGAGACCACACTTATCCCTCCCAGCCTGCAACCGATCAATCCGAAATATGGAAAACCCATGCGGACGACGCCAACCTTCTTACTATGGTGGGTGTCAGCCCACAGAGGGAAAAAAAGGGCATCACCACCACACCACAGCTGCAATCCATGAGCACCCAGAGGGATATCCACAGGATAGACATGGACAGCTCATAAAACGGACACTCACTCCCTGCTACCCATACAAAACAAAGCAGGTATCGGTTAGCGATGGGACTACCCCAGCACATAAGAACACTCCATGGTGATGGCCCTCCTCACTGAGACTGTTTGGGCGTCCAGGGTGATAACCTAAACGAAACTATTTAGCTCTATTAAAGCAACATTTTCAGACCTAGCATAAACATCATGTTATAATCTAACCATATTAACATGTCTATATAGATAGCGTTGTAGACCTGCATTATTTGTATCGTTACCAGAATAGCCAAGTTACAGGTCATGCAGCACTACAGGCTAGACGTACCATTAACGTTCATTTATTATTTTTGCAACTTGTTCTCTCAGACCATGCTATAAACTCAAGCGTAGATATCGTTGTCAAATAGATATCCAGCCTAGCATGTTTATTGCCAACTGTTGAAGTCTCATAACCTGTCTTTTTCATGGTCTGAACAAAAAATGGTACTGTTTAAACTGCCAGACTTTGCAATGCAATGAAAATCTCGTTAATACTTCTTGTCTTATATAAACAAAATTTATGCTGCATTTTGAACCTATCTAAGCAACGTAAACCTATACTGTCCATTTCCTTACCAAAAAAAAAAATGTGCAAGATCTACTGTCTACCCCTATGTTTAAACTGTTCATAATGTGCTAGAGGAATGTCTTTGGGCTCCCTCTTAAGCAATTGTTATAATCGTACGCACTACAAAAATAAAGAATTTAAAAAGAAAAAAAATCAGGTCAGTCTCCTACATAAGTTGAATCGGTAGATACTATCTACCATACTATCTGATACCATACCATAGCCATACTATCTGATGAGTGATTTTATCTTTTCGAATTCTCCACATTATCCCACATTTAGTTCAAAGTGTTTTGGTGTGAAAATATGGTGGTATTGGTGAAGAGAGGGAGGCGAGGGAATTTACATAAAGCGTTTCCTTTCTCTATACTGTTGATATCATGTCTGGTGATGGAACAATAAAGACACAGTAACAGTAAATTGTAGTTATAATGCATTTTTCTTTCTGTTGAAAATGTGCTGTAGATTTTGCATTTATAGTCATGTGGTCTTCAAAAATAATCAAACTCAACTCAGAAGCCGGTGGCCTCCCTACTTGAGGAAATCATGATATGTGTAATTGCATTTTACATTAACCTTGGTAGAGTACAAAGCATCGAATGACCCTGCTCTGTTAGTTCTCACACCGGCTTATGGGCTTTTTAGTAATTATTATGATTAACCCCTTCATGACTGGTGGGGTTATTTTTGCTATTTATTTGTTCCACTATACTTTAACATTTTAATGTGAAGTGAACCCATACAAACTGTGTATATATATATATATATATATATATTTTATTTTTTTTTATTTTTTAACGACACATATGGCTGTCTACTTTTACCAGTGTTTTAGCTCAACGTTGGACATTTACATTATATTTATAACATTAGAGACAAAATAAAGAAATTCTATTTGTTATGGTAAAGGGTTTGGGAATTTCCCAAAACATTCATTGATCAAAATTGACTGCCAACCTTGAGAGGTTAAGTACCCTTTCACAAAGGACCCATGCAGTATAGTTTTATTCTTTGTATCGGTACCTATCTGTTCAACTGTGCTATATACATCCACTGTATACGTCCCTTTATTATAGTTAAACAAAAATCTGCACACCAGCCAAGCCATAAGACTTGCTTTTCCCACAGAAATCCCAAATCTGCAGTGATTTTACAACCACAAAGGATTCTGGTTGGGCATATGCAAATTAGTTTAACAAAGAATCACATTTTTGCCTCATTCCATTTTAAACATGAATTCCTTTTAATCTGTGTTTGCAGTATACAACTGCTTGGAACACAATTTAGGAAAAGATGCAAAACCAGTGAACCACTCATGGACAGCTGTTTCGTTGTTAATGCAACTCATCAGCATGAGATTGGTTACTGGTTTGCTTATTGAGGCTTGGTAGTGCTTGGGAATCAAAATCCAAATAGGTTATGGTGGGGAAAAATTGTGACTGAAAATCCTTTCCACCTGAAGTCTGTGGATAGTTAATACAATATTAAACAAAAATCTGCACACCAGTCAAGCTATAAGACTTGCTTTTCCCACAGAAATCCCAAATACGTAGTGATGTTACAACCGCAAAGGACTGACTGGTGTGCCGCGGCACGACGTGCACACAGGGGTGCCACGGAATATTTCCCCGGTGCCATAATTATATCGACCCGGTCGGCATAGGTTTGACCCTGTAATCAATAGTTTCTGTATAGTTTAAATTAGAACTTTTAATAATACGACCAACTTCTCTCTCAGTATTATTTGTGTTCCTCTGGAGCTAACTGACCATCAAGGTAGAATCAGATATGTGGGCTTTGCATCTGACGTCCAGGACATGTAGTTTTGGGCACCAGCCAAGCATGTCTTTTGGCGTTTAGCCCTGCTGCGAGATAGGGCAGGACTGCTACAGAGAGGACAGGTGGGAGCATGAGGTCTGCAGCACCAGTGGGTGCAGTCATCAGTAATTGTTCCTTTGTGACCTGGCACTCTCTAGTGATTAATAGTGCAGCAATGGGGATTCCCAGCACACACACCGCACATGTTACCAACACACATTACATGCAGACAGCACACACATATTACATTATTACATACAACCAGCATCAGGGGCATCGTGAGGGTCAAGTAATTATTTGGAGACCTCTTCCTAAAGCGCGCGCGCTCTCTCTCTCAAAATATTTACACAGTGAGGTGGGCACTTGTAGGTATTAATATGTAGAAAAAATAGTCGTTTTTATTTGTGTAGCGTCAACGTTTCGGACCTGCTTTCAAAACCTGCTTTCAAACCTTTCTCAAGTCTTGAGAAAGTGCCCACCTCTCTGTGTAAATATTTTGTTACATATTTGTTCCAGTGTGGTGCACCAAGGCATTGCAAGTTTGTATTTTTGTATTTTTCTACAAAGAAACGGGATAAAAGTGAGTGCCCTCATCCTTGCATTTTTTTATATATATATACACACACACACACACACACACACACACATTTTAATCCACAAAATGCAAAACAAATTGTGTGTCAGAGAGCACCTCTGCCGTTGTCAGACCACTGGTATGGCTTCAGATATTTAGTGCATTGCATTACAACAGCAACACTGGAGCTTGCAAGGAGGAGCAGAGCAGATACTCTGGACCACCAGGTAAAGGTATTCAAAGGCTTGGGGTAATAACAATGTGTGTGTGTGTGTGTGTGTGTGTGTGTATATATATCTGTGAGTGTAAGACTAAGTATGTGTGTAATATTGTGTTTGTATTTGTGAGTATGTGTAATAGTTTGCATGTATCTATGAGTGATTGTGTGTGTATATGTGTGACAGCGTGTGTACATGTGGACAGATTGTGTGAGTATGTGGAATAGTTTGTGTGTATCTATGATTGTCTGCAGTGGCGTACATACCGAGTTCGCAGGGGTCGTGGCTGCGACCGGGCCCAGCCCACCAGGGGGCCCATGCCGCCCTGCGACCCGGTATGTACCCAGTGTGGCCAGCCTCTTCTCCTGGGGGTTGAAATTCAAACAATAGTGATTACTGTGTCCAGTGCGCTTATAGGTATAATAAAGTGATATGGAAGCAGCTACACACTCTAGTGGGTGCTCTCTATCCCCCACTAAGTATAGAAATGAACCAGAGTGAGTCAAGTATAGACTGGATAAGAATCCAGACCGTGCTAGTCAAGTGAGTGGAGCGCTGTATATTCACACTTACCCTCAATTAGGGTTAAATCACAGGTATGTGTTTATACATGTAAATAAAACAAAGATACAACACAATATAGTGTAAATCTGTAGATGAAGAGGATATTATACTAATTTATCAATGGTCAAACTCACATGGATTGGAGCCTCAGAAAAGGACAGGCTCAAATCTCTTCCACAGTAGTGTCGTATGGAGACACTGCACCCTTTAACTGGAATAGGTTTCCTCAGGGAAAAAGGGAAGAAAAAAAGGGAGAAACCCCTTCAGCTTATCGGAGCTGAAGCCATCAACTGGGACTTTATATCTATCTTTTAATATTACAGGATTACTTTTAATTTTTGATTTTATTTTATTTTATAATAAATTTACTTTTTATTACATCCCATTGGCTTTCTGTCCCATCTTGCTGTTAAAGAAGGGTAGATGCCCCCCTTTAAAGGCACCCAAGTCTACCATCTAGAGCCAGGTTCTCATTGGCTCAGAACAAGGTGAGCACCACTATAACTACTGTCTGTGCAATTGAAAGTTATATACATAGTACACTAGGGGGTTTCTCCCTTTTTTTCTTCCCTTTTTCCCTGAGGAAACCTATTCCAGTTAAAGGGTGCAGTGTCTCCATACGACACTACTGTGGAAGAGATTTGAGCCTGTCCTTTTCCAAGGCTCCAATCCATGTGAGTTTGACCATTGATAAATTATTATAATATCCTCTTCATCTACAGATTTACACTATATTGTGCTGTATCTTTGTTTTATTTACATGTATAAACACATACCTGTGATTTAACCCTAATTGAGGGTAAGTGTGAATATACAGCGCTCCACTCACTTGACTAGCACGGTCTGGATTCTTATCCAGTCTATACTAGACTCACTCTGGTTCTTCTCCAGGGGGGGCCCAGGAGCTGGCCACCTCAGGGCCCCCCGAGGCTGGCCCTGGTGTCACCCAGCGGGCAGGCTGTTGGGCGCGCGAGGGAGCACTCTCCCCTGAGTGCTCCCTCTTCAGCTCCCTCGCACATTGCACTGATGCCGCAGCTGGAATATGACGTCATATTACGGCTCCAGCATCAGTACGCGGCGCGCGAGGGAGCTGAACAGGGAGCACTAAGGGGAAAGTGCTCCCTCGCGCGCCCGCCAGCCTGCCCGGTGACCGGCCGCCCAGCAACACCACTGGACCCCAGGGAATCCCCTCAGCACTCCCAAAGGTAGGGAGGCGGGGGGATTACATTTTTTTTAAAATGTGTGTTAGTGTTAGAGTGTGTGTGTTAGTA